GAACGCCAGTTTCTGATAATTGAGCATGGTCAACTGATCACTAGACTCTAGAAATTGAGGAACTCGAACGTCTCCTTCATCATATTTTCTACCAAAATTCAATCCAATTTGTGTAATTCGCTGCACATTTAAACTTTGCTTTGAAAGTACTTGGAGCGCAAACATTACATTGAGCAGAGATGTAAGGCGGGGCGTTTAGAGACGACGAGAAGGGTAGAAAAGGCGACACATCTGGGCAGGCAATTGAGTATCAAAGGAAGCAAAGAGATAGTTGGAGAAATGGGATTCGAGAGTTGGCCAAGTTTGTATTTGTGGAAGTGGGCACCGTCGACTAATGTCATACAGGGTTCACAATGTGGTGAGAAGAGTGCATGGTCATCATGGGTAGTGCCACAATGTAGGACGCCGTATGCATGGTCGTCTGTGGTGATACCGCAATGTGGCAAGCCGTGGGGATGGTCGTATCCGTGGTGGTAGAGGGGCCAACTGACACTAAACAAGCTCTTCTTAGCTACTTTTCTGCTATAACCCGAACTTTATAACACTAGTGCTGGTTGTTTCTAGCAATATCTTAATATAAGGTTATGCACCAGATACTGCTGTGCTATTCACATTATTAAGCAGCAATTATGTGGTACAAAGACAAAGTGCAGAAGGGAGTATGTACTCAGTGCACCGGGCAAATGAACCAATCATTTTGGCTATGGGTCTGTAAGCTGGTCAAGTAGCCACTTTATTGGTCGGTAAAGTGGTCACTCAACCAAAGGAAAGAGTCTGATTGGGATTGGGACTGGTATTAGAAGGGAATAAAGAGGAAATGCAGACGTTTTCATATCAAAATGGCCCTCTGAAATGGAAGGAGAGAATGCAGAGCGGGATAGAGTGAGTCTATTGGGGTGAAAACTTACTAAGAAAAGGTGCAAAAAAGGGAAGAAAAGAAGACAAACGTAGAAAAAGGACGTAGAATAGTTAAGGGCTGTGGGCTAGCGACTAAGAGGAGAAATGTGCAGTGACTGAGCTTTAGGCTGAGGAGTTAATATAAGTGCTAATATCCCTGCCCCTATCATCCACCTACCTCTGAATATCTCAGCGCACCTGTCCATGTATGTACTGTCCAATCGTCTATTCACTTACCCGTCTATCCATCTGCATGACCATGTTGTAAGCATCAAATAGTTGCATCCATCTATTCATTTTTTATAAGTGCATTTCGTCAAATTTATCTTTTCTCTAGTTCATCTATCCTTTTCTCTATCTAATTTGTTTTCTGACCGTCCTGTCGGCTAAATGATTATCCAACGGACTAACTGACAATTACATTCAGCAGAAGGAAGAGAGATGCTGGTTGAGGAAAAGATGTCACTAAAGATCTGTAAAGGGAAGAAAACCTGACAGTAAAAATTCATCGTATGCCCAAAACTCCTATGGAACGTGATACTTGGTGCTTATTTCCTAATGTACAACAAAGCCGTTCTAAATTTCACCGAGGAAACCCTTCCCAAGCATCTAGTCACTGAGACCAACTCGGAGACTTTGCTACCGATAGGCGATGCAGATGACATTAGCAATGCCTTTTATTCAAGCTGCAGCCATTACCATGAACAATCTACGTGACATCCGAGCGCAAGTGAACCACAGTTCTGATGACGGGAGAAAGGAGCTCCATGAGCTCCTGCTTAGGTATGCGAACATCTTCCTATGGCAAGGTGAGAAATTGGGACGAAAAAATATCATCAAAAATATGATTGACACAGGCGAAGCTAGATCTATCTGGCCACCACGCAGACTTTTTCCACTACCTCTGCTAGAAGAAGCAAACCGTTGGGTTGAAGCCGTGAAATCACAAGACACTGAAACAGTTGCTACAAAGGGTCCACCACCGGTTGGATACGAATATGAGGTTTACGCGCTTATGGAAGACAGACAACCACCGGGTGGCAAAGTCGGAAGCAACTCATGAGTGGTGGCACCGGTGACTCGGCTAAAGAATAAGAGAGCTATGTACTACTTATTTGGCTGAGGAGCAGCCATTTTCCACCATCCAGGAGAACATATCTGTGTCCATACCTTCGTAAACCTGCACCCATTGCTCTCAATTTACTTTACACAATAAATAGAACAAAACCAAATCTGTCAGGGTGTTCTTAGAGTACGAGGGTAATGGAAGAGGAGATCTACAAGCCTCGTTCCTCAGTAAAGTGCATAAATAGTTAAAACCATCTTTTGCTGGGACATGGTTAAAAGGAAATTAGTAAAGGAAATTTGTTACCAATGTATTGGCACATGTTGGAAAACAATAGGCAATGTCATTTATTTGATAATAATCGTGACAATCCATAGGTTACATTTAAAATTTTGCTGGGTTGATGGAGTTGCGCCAGCACCATTCTTTTAAAGTGACGGAACGATCTTAAAATTAACAATCTGGCCGAAAGCCATGTTGATCATCACGACGCTTTGGGAGGACTCGAACTCCTTTTAAATCAGGTTAAGTCCAGATAAGAATATGATGACAGGTTCAAATAAGCAGCCGTCCCTGGTGGAAAAGGAACTGACTTCATTCTGTGCGTAGACTGATAGTAACTTTAGATGGAATGAATGTCAGTGCATTTTACCTAAAATAAAACAGTTTTTCACTGTTTGCAATCGCCTCTGTTTTCCTTACCCCTATTCTACTCACCCTCTTATTTTCATTAAGCTCTCATTTTCATTCTTATTTACAATACATTTTAAGCCAAACCCAATGCCACAAAGTGGCATTAATCCCAATACCAACATGACTGCCACAGTGGGTAGGATTTGACGACGTGATAGGAGTGTATGTTACCTAGGAGGGTGACAAGTGTCACCTCTTAGCCTGTTCATGCATATCTGACCACTAGCTGACAGCCACATAGTCAGAGAGGTCACTCTCGGAC